AGCGCACGCGACGGGCTCCGTCATATGCCACTCTGAGAGAGGACAGCCGGCTTCCGTCGGGGGCCGCGGCTCACACAGACCCCGGGACGGCGGGAGGCAGGAGGGGGACCCCGAAACATCGCAGAGGCTGCAGCAGAAGCCACCAGTGCGAAAAAGCCTGATTACCCAGACCCCGCCCCATGCTCACCCAGGTCCCGCCCCACGCCACCCTCAAGCTCCGCCCCCTTCCTATTCACATCAGTTTCGCCTCCACTCCGCCTTTTCAGATAGCCCAGCCCAAGGAGCCTGTCTCCGTCAGGCCCGCAACATCTCCCTTCCGGCTTCAGTACGCCCTTCCGCCCTAGTGCCCGCCTCTTCCGTTACCCCTCTCCACTGTCTTCACGCCCCTGCCAGGGGTTCTCGTTCCTTCCGACTTCCCCGCCCGGTCCTGCCCTCGCCCTTCAGGTGACCTGTGACGCGAGGCGTCCTTCCGGCCGGGCAATTGTCGTCAGGATGCAGGACGCACACGTGCTGGGAGGCGGCGAGCCGCAGCGACTCTGCGCTCAGCAGCTCCTCCTCCTCGGGCTCCACCCACCCCCTCCTGGCGCCCATCCCCAGTTGTGAGAGCAGCTCCTTTCCCGGCTCTCCTTCCCAGGTTCTTCCAGGTCCTGGATGTCGGCGCGGAGCTCCGAGCTGCTGGGCCGCGGCGTAGGAGCCGGAGGACCAGGAGGACGAGAAACGTGCATGGAGAACTTGCGGCGCTCGACGCGGGGCCGGGAGGGGAAGGGAAAGGCGAGCAGGGCGGGGACGACAGCGCCGCTCTGAGGGTTCCAGTCTGGCTCCGGGCTGGGAGGAGGGTAGAGGGCACCTGGCTCCGGCGGGGGAGGGATGACAGGAACATGCTGGAAGGTCGCAGGCAAGCGGGTCCCCACGGGAGCGAGTGGCTGGCACAGCTTCGGCTGGGCACCTCCTGGGGGGGGCGGGGCCTGGGCCGAAAGTCACATGGCTCCTTTCCGCTAGAGTTCGGGTCACCACGTGTAGTCAACTCACTACACTGGGATCATTACACCTGTCTCCTGCACACCCGGGGTCATTACACCTGTCACTCAAACACCTGAGGTCACCATCACCTGTGTCCTGCACACCCAGGGTCATCACACCTGTCACATGTACACCTGAGGTCACCATCACCCCCACCGCAGCTACAGCTTTGGTGAGTCTCCAGCACCTCTGAGCACACAGCTGCCCGGTGGCTGCTGGTGACAAGTGGGCACTTCCTGGTGACCTGAGGCCCCTGAACTAGAAACTTGAACCGCGGTCGGGATCATCCAGGCATCAGATGCTGTGCCTGAGACTCCACTGGAGCCAGAGGAAGGAGTCCCGGACTGTCTCCTGGTGGCCCACGTGGACGTTTCACGGACACCCAGGGGCTGTGACCTCACTCACTGGGCTTCAGCACAAGCATTTGTAGGACATGGGATGTGTGGCCTCAGCACCAGTTGCAGAGTTGTCCCATAGACACTAGTCACAGCTGAAGTGACACTGTGTGTGTGTGTGTATACAAGGGTCTCACGCTCAAAGCCACCTGCGTGGAGCTCAGTCATTCCCCACATGGGTTCCTGGTACGGAACTCGGGTGTGTGTTTAGCTGTGGAGACTGCCTGGGAGCTCAGCTGTGGCATCTCCAGTGTCACACACGAGCATCTGACTGTGTGTGTCTCAGTGTCACACATGAACATCTCACTGTGCACTTCCAAGTGTCACACATGAACCTCTGACTGTGCACTGCCCCATCTTACGTGTCTGCATGCAATCCACCAATGATACCTGACTACTCAACCCACTCGTGTCTGTGCACTGTATACGCTCTAATGTCTGACTATGCCAACCCCAGGCTGCTGCTGAGTGATGGAGCCGGGGTGAAATTTCTGAAATTCTTACAAATGTGACGTGGCCGCTCTCCCACGCGATGGCATGAGGCCATTTCCCACACCCGTCTGTACACAGGACAGGGTCAACATAGTCATGCAGAGCCCTGGCCGCAGGCTGGAAGGCACTGAGGTGACCTCACCCCACAGGCACATGGAGACCCTTGCTGACTGTGTGTTCCCAGGGGTGAGGGCCTGTGGAGTCCCTACCATCCCCATGAGTCCTCTGGTGGCCCTGGGGACGTGAGGGCCCAGATTAAGTCTGTGCTGAATAATACTTTGTGAATAAACTCCATCTGCAGAGACCGGCACGTGAACACCCGGGGCTACACAGATGGGCTGTGAGCTCAGGTTAGGAAACCGAAGGTGGGGAGGGTGCTCGCCCCAGCCCATCAGGAGGGAACACCTGCTCTCGTGGGGGCCCTGTCTCTGTCAGTCAGATTGAGGACACTACACGCTTGTGCAAACTCGGGTCAGGGAGGTGGGATAGTGGAGGGGATGACCCCCCACGGGGCAGAGCTTGGCTGCACGTTAATCGCGGTCTTGGGGGGGGGGGTCTCCTGACCTAGGACGGGCCACACGCTGGACCTGAGACAGATGACACGAAGGCACCACAGGTTGTGATGTCGTGAGTGCCCCAGGCTGCTGAGGTGGTCAGGACCAAGCGGGTCAGGGACAGAACATACCGCCACAGTCCTGAGTCCTGCCCACGCGTGCACGCACTCACCCATCATCCCATGGATTCCAGGCCTGCTGCCTCCTTGGCCACCAGGCCACCTGCTTTTTACACACATGCTTCTCCCAGTCCGAGCGGGGATACACACAGCTCAGTGATGCGCACTGAGGGAGGGAGGAGAGGGGAGGGCACGCACCCGTAGCCACCTCTCATCAAAGAAGCTTCTCTCTGCAGCTAATGGAGACCAGTACAGAAAACCACACCCAACATACATTAACCTACAGCATAATTCCTGCACCCAAGGCTCAGAGAACACTGGGGATCAGGGGGTGCAAAAATTAAAAGCCAGAGGACCAGGAAGCCTGCTGTGAGACTGTTTTCTAGAAATGGCCATGCTACCTCTACAAAATGACTGCCCAAACAAAACGTGAATAACGACAACACCAATAGCCATGCTAAGATGGAAGGTCAATGTCATGGGATCTCAACCCTAGATAAAGAACTACAGGCAACTAATGACTGCCGAGAGAGGGATGAGTCCCCTAACTATCCAATACCAAGTAGTCAGCTTTGAAATACGTACACAAGCAACACTAAATGGACTCAAGATTATATTAATATGTTTATGTTTATACACATACATAATGATAATAATAAAAAGATGTCATCAATTTTAGAGTTGGGAGGTGGGTTGAGGGAGGAAGCAGAGGTGGACATAATGTAGTTATAGCTTTATTAACTTAAAAAAATAAGTTTTATACAATTCCAAGGTAAATAAGACACTCTGGTTCAGAATATATACTCAGAAAACATTGCCTGTTAGACGTCAAATTGAGGATAGTCAGGCAATTATTACCAAAAGTCTAAATTTTGAAATGATACATTTAAAAGGGAAGGTATTAATTTTTTGTTTGTTTGTTTGTTTGTTTGTTTGTTTTTGGTTTTTCGAGACAGGGTTTCGAGGCTGTCCTGGAACTAGCTCTTATAGACCAGGCTGGTCTTGAACTCACAGAGATCCGCCTGCCTCTGCCTCCCGAAGGCTGGGATTAAAGGCATGCGCCACCACTACCCGGCAGGAAGGTATTAATTTGATAAACTCACCAGTCCTTCATAAATGAAATAGTTCAAGCTTGGATGGTTTAGAAAAAATGTATCTCAAAAAAGTTCACTTGTACTTATTTTTGAAACTTCTGTTTACTCATTCACTTGTTCATTTATTTAGATGCATATACTAGGCAAATGCTAGTTTCATTCTCAGTACTAATTTGTAAATTAATACATTCGATAAGTTTTTAAGGAAATATAATACATTGATACTGTCAGAAATAAATACATAATCTTAAATTATTTTAGGCAAATGCTATGCTTTATAAATAATTGTATTTTATTTTAGAGAAAAAAATTACCAAACTCTACCTTCTAAGTAAAACTTTCTGACGGTGAATGGAGCTCTCTATTGAGGTTTAGTAGTCTTAAGTGTTTTTCAAGTGTTTAGCCTATGCAAAAAAAAAAAAAAAAAAGGAGGGTTTTTTTTTTCTTTTTTTTTTTTTTTTTTTAAAGATGGTCTTTTAAAATTTTTTGTATTAGTTCAGGGGATTCTTGAAATAGGAATGAAACAAATATCTTCAAATTTGAAACATTTGCAGTCAATGCAGATGTTTCATTTGAGGCAAATGTTTTAGAGTGTGTGAAGATGCCACACAAAATGTCTACGTGTGTAAAAGCTGTACTTGACATGAAATATGGCAAACTAGTTCCAACACTTGAGTTGTATTAAATATGAAAAAGTGACTACTAAATGACTGGATTTTTATTTATTTAATTATTTAGTTTTGTAATTCTCTTGGTCTCGAAGATTTTATCTGATGTGATTTAGAAGTGATGAAGGCTGGGGCTGGAGAGATGTCTCAGGGGTTAAGAGTGCTGCCTGTTGTTCCTGAGTTCTATTCCCGGCAACCACATGGTAGTGGCTCACAACCATTTGTAATGAAGTATGGTGCCCTCTTCCGGCCTACAGGGGTATATGCAGGCACTATATGTAATAAAGGTAGAGCACTATATGTAATAAAGAAATCTTAAAAAAATGTTATTGATGAGTTTTTGTTTTTAAAGTAATGAAGGCTATTGGGATTTAGATTTCTTAGCTTCCTTACAAGTCTTGAGGAAGAACATGAAAGGTTACAACTTTTCAGCTTCTTTGTTCTTCTCTACCATCACTTTATTCTCCCCTCTGCCCTCTTTTTTTTTATCTGCAGTTAAATGGAGATGGATTAAAAACAAAATTGGAGTCCAGCACTGTGCCATTTACCTGTTATTCTTGTTATGTGAGAGGCGGGGTCAGATGGATCTTGAGTTGGAGGCCAGCTTGGGAAACAGCCTTTTCAAACCACAAAAAGGTGAATAAACTTTTATCAGTGTGTAGTCATACTGGAGGGAATTAAAGCAATGTAAATATAACCATTTTCTGTGTTTTTTGCATATATGTACGTGAAGATAATCATGTATGTCTATGCATGTGCATGAGGGTACTAGAGATCACTGCCATTCTTCCTTGATCACGCTCCAGCTTACGAGATAGGGTCTTACTGAAACTGACACTCAGTGACTGCCTTGATGGCTAGAGAGCTCTTGGAAATGGTCAGTATCTCTGCAAACCCATTGTAGGTTTGCAAGTCCCAGCACACAATTTGTGTGGGTACTGGGGATCCAAATTCAGGCCATTGCCCTTGCTTGGCACCCACTTTACCTCCAGCCACTGCCACCATTTCAAGAATCCAATGTCCAACATATCAAGTTTGAGTTTGTTTTAGTTACTTTTCTCATTTCTCTGACAAAATACTTGACAAGAAACTTCAAGGTTGAAGGGTGTGTTTCAGTTTACAGTTTGAAGGTACAGTCCATCATGGCAGCAAGAGCTTGAGTTATTTGCTCACATTGTATTCATAGTCAAGAAACAGAAAAAAAGGAATCCTTCTGCTCAGCTTGATTTCTCTTTTTTTATTCAGTTTACTACCCCAGTCAGTTTGTGGTACCAACCCCACTGAGGCAGAGTATTCCCACTTCAGTTAACGTATCATAAATAACCCCTCACTGGCATGACCACAGGTTTCCATAGTGATTGTAAATCCCATCAAGTTGACAATCAAGATTAACCACCAGGGAGTCTAAAGTGTCTTCAAACCCAGGAAAAGAAGGAATGTGCCATTCAAATTACTTGTTTCTTAAGTTTCCATACAGATGGAAGTAATTTGACCAGTGACTTCCCAGTTTGGTTCTGTTTTCATTTGCCTGTCCAAACATCATATTAAGACTAATCTTTATTGTAGTATGGTTGATTGTTTGGGATTATGTCTAATCATTTACATAAATTCACTCCTCTTAAGCCAGAATGCTATAGGGAAAATTTACTAATACTTACTGTTATTGTTTTGTTTAAAAAGAAGAAAAGAGAAATGCTGAGATAGACATAAGACTAGAAGTTTATTATAAGGCCCGGTAGAATGGGGAGACTAAGAAGAGGAACAGGGTAAATGGCTGACCGCCATGGCCGGTCGCCATAGAGAGACAGAGCACACAGAGCACGGG